CCTGCCCGGGCTGGCTTTGAACCGCGATCCTCAGATCTCAGCCTCCTGAGTAGCTAGGATTACAGGCGTGAGCCACCAGCGCCCGGCTTGCATGAGACTCTTATCTTCCATTAAAGCACCCAAAAGCTGTAAGTGCAGCTGTGACTCAAATGGTGGGGTGATAGCCTTGAGCAACAATGCTCAGGGACAGCCTCCTTACCCTGAGTTGAGTTGAAACCCCAGGGTCAGCACCAAATATATACATACAAAGCAGCTAGAAGGCAGTGGTTTACTTTTATAATCCTAGCAGCTCAGGAGTTTTGAGCCTAGAGGATTGGGGATTTGAAACCAGCCAAGGAAGAAAAGTCCAAGACTTTATCACTCATCCAATTGGCCAATAAAATGCTGGACTGGAGGTGTAGCTCAAGTCATAGAGCACCAGAGGTGAGCAAGAGTTCAAGCCCCAGTGCTTGAAGCACACACACACACACACACACACATTAATCATGTTTTGTGGAAAGGAAATTGGGTCCCAGAGTGGTAAAGCCACTTGCTTAAACATGTCTTTCATCAATCAGAATGTCTGGGAGCTGCCTTGCTGTAATACCTACTCTTAACTTCCCGCCAGCTACAGATGGGTAGCCCGTGCTAGTCTTTAGTCCAAATCCCATCAAGAGACTCAGAAGCTAGGTGCCAGTGGCTCACACCTGTCATCCTAGCTACTCAGAAGGCTGAGATCAGAGGACCAAGGTTCAAAGGCAGCCTGGGCATGAAAGCCAGTGACTCTTTATCTCCTATGAACTACCACAAAGGCCTGGAAGTGGAGCTGTGGCTCAAATGGTAGAGCCTTAAGCACAAGAGCTCAGGGACAGCACCCAGGCCCAGGTTCAAGCCATCGGCCCAGCACTAAAAATCAACAACAAAAGTTTACGGCTGTTGAATGGCATTTGAACATTTGAACCTGGGAAGTTCTATGGGAAGAAATGGGTGCTGGCCAGCAGTACCAAGTAAACAGCACCCATCCCACAACCCCAGTGCAGCTCAGGCCAAGGGAAAAGCTGATGGAGGAGTGAACGGTGCATGAAGTAAGGTCGCCACCTGGTGGTGAAGGTCAGTAACCACAGGGTCAATTTCCAGGTCAGTCTGAGAAGTGTGTATGGGGGGGAGGGGGGAAATTGTATAGAGCAATGGCAGACAAAGCACATCAACAGATCCACATCTGTCCCTAATACTTTTATTGGTCATCTAAAGACCTGTGCCCAGCTACACAAGCTCCAGAAAAGGGGGTAGGGGGGTGGTCAACCATTCACCAAATCCCCAGGTGTGGGAGAAAGAAGCTTTAACCTAGTCTCCCAGTTTTCCCTCATAGACTACCGGAGCTTTAGGGTCCAGGGTCTGCCCTTTTCTGCACCAGCATAGGACATCCAGATGGGGGCACAGATGGGACCCAAGCATAGAAGCTCACTACGGGTCTGCCAGTTTAGTTGTGTTTGGAGAAGTATTCCTTGCTGTCTTCCACATTGGGCTTGATGGTATCACTGCCGGGCTTCCAGCCAGCTGGACAGACTGCAAGACACAAGGACACACA